AACTTCTTAAATTGATTCTCACCGTTTTGCTTGGTAAGTATTTGCGGGTATGGAGGTGGAGGCTTAGGCAATGGTGTCTTCGCCTTTTGCACTACCGATTTTGGTATGTCAATGATGTGTTCCCTAGACGGTTTCACCTCCTCTTGAGTCTCTTCAACACTATCATCAATATCAATCCGAACTTCCTCATTTACTTGAACAACTTTGGTTGGGATCTCTTCTTCTTGCATCACTTGGTCATCATCGACAAGTCGCCTTTCACTTGAGGTGTGTGCATTTTTATATCATTGGTGTTCTTTTTCTCTCTTTCTCTCATCCTTCCATTTATCCACATCTTTTATGTCTAGTTTGCTTTACAACATAGAATCAGATTTCCTTTTTTGTTTATGCAAAAGATTTCAGTTGCTACAAAGATATGACCTACATATCATATCTTGACTGGTTCTTTAGATCCAGATAATGTGAAGTGATGGGTTGGTTATTAGTTCTATAGTTTTTAATTCATACTATGTGGTATGATCTTTTTTAATCCTAACCCTAAAAACCAACGAGTCACACATTAAGCATATCAATTATATCAAATGGTCAATCAAATTTTTATTCAACCTTATAGAATTAAGAATTATAAATATTACCCTTGATTGATTAAAGGACCAAGATCACCTATGAAATATAAAAGATCATTCATACATAGCACAATCCAAGCGAACCCACTTAAAATCTTTACCGAGCTATGACCGTCCATCATATTAGCAAATAAACGTATTTCTGAGTGCGTGCTTCGCAAGTTTTTTACTTTCTTCACACAACAAAATAAAGGCATGATAGTATTGTACTCAATTGCTCGTGTTGTATGGCTCTTCTACATTCTATAATCTATAATATGTTCATTCATACCAATATATGCTAAAAACCCCAATAAATTTTCAACCCCTCTCACAGTCATCAAACTAGCAACACCAAATTTCTCTCTGCCCTCTGTTCGGTAACGCAATTCCTATGCTCACAACCAATTAGAGCAAAAATATCTACCTCCGTCTTTCTCTTAAAACTCACCTCAGTCTCATAAATGTCCTTCCCAAATCCTAGCGTAAGGTGTATGATCCTCCGAATCCATTGCTAGCTTTACCACGATCGATTAGGTGAAAGGTTCTGCAAACTTTGTTTTTTCATACATGCAGCATGGTTATAGTACTCATATTATGCCAGCCATACAATTAGTACTGCATTGGCAGAATTGCTATACACTCTATAAAAAGAGGATCGATAAGCCTTCATGCTCTACAAAAAAATAGAAATTTTCTACCAGTGTATATCGAGAAGCCATGGCCCTCCCTGCTCAAATTCTCGACATTCCCCAGCGACTTGCTGAAATTAACGTTGAAATACAAAATATATAAAAATTTATTTGAAAGACTCGAATAATGTTAAATGGTTTCTTGAGGCATCTTTGCTTCATGAACCCCGCTGCTATTGAAGCCCGAATGGAAGCAAGCCGTCAAAGAATTCGGGAACTAGAAGAAAGACTCTAGGGACTATGCCAGGAGCAGCAGGCACTGATCATGGAGGCAATCTTCCTTGGTGCCCGCACTGATTTCTTTAATTCATTTCTCTTTTATGAATAGTTGGTTGTGTTGGATGATTGATGGGTAGTTTGAAGAACGGTCGGATACTGGAATCTACCCAAAAGTCCTGACGTTTTCGAGGCAGGGCTCCAACCCGTATCTGGACAACTCTGGTACAATAGCACCCTGCCTTAATAATCGCATAAGAATCTGGGCTTGACAAGTTCAAGCAAAACCGTAGAGAGAGTGGGCTACACGAAACCCTACTGCGAGAGGGACGCCTCGCGAGCCGGGCTTTTAGAGATGAGGCCTTTTGGCGAAGCCAAGCATTCCCGCCCCTTCCACTTCTTGTGATAACTGTCATAGCATGCCCCGTATTGTTACCACCCTTTGAGTTCACTACCGTGTCACTTGGTTGTGCACCCTTAGGATGAGAATTTAAAGCTTGAGAGATTTGTCTTATTTGAATTTCTAGATTACGGATTAATGTGTTATGTAAGGTAAGTTGGGCATCCGAATCGGCATTATTTTCCATCATTTTCTTGAACATATTCTTAATACGTCTCATCTCATTGTTTGAAGAACTTGAACTATGGGAAATGATAAGGAGGTGGGTTGTTTGGTTGTTGATACATTGGGGCCTTTGAAAACCCGACCCCTGGTTGCCTTGGTTATTTCCCCAACCACCTTGATTGTTGCCTCCCCAATTTCCTTGGTTGTTTCCGCTCCAATTTCCTTGGTTGTTGTTATTATGCCACTTCCTTTGATTGTTATAATTCCAATTGCCATGGTTATTTTGTGGTCTCCATTGTTGTTGATTTGAGCCTTGGAAGTTGTTTCTTTGCCCTTAAAAATTGTTCACATATTGAACTTCCTCCACTTGCTCATTATAAGAATCATCTTGATCAAAACTTCCATCATCTTGCACACAGATCTCCACTCGGGGTTGTATTTGTGGACCCTTGGTCCTCTTATTGTTCGCCAAAACATTAACTCCCTCCATAGCATGAACTTGCTTAGGATCTTACACTTGATTGAGTTGGGCCTTTTTATAGTTTAGTCATGGTTATTGTCAATTCAGCAATGGCTTGCCCATGGTCTTGCAACTCTTTGTGGAGGTGTATCATATTCGGATTACCTTGTGGAACATTAGCTCAGAATTGCCAAGCCAATGACATTTTCGCCATCTCATCTAGAATATCACACGCCTCCGCATAAGGCGTTGTCATGAAGTTTCCACCCGTTAGTTGATTCACTACACATTGGTTGGTTGTGTTAATCCCACGATAGAAGGTTTTTTGCAACATGTTCTTCGTTATATCGTTGTTAGGACATTACTTAACCATTATTCTATAGCGCTCTCAAATTTCGTGCAGTGGTTCATTCGGTTCGTGCTTGAATGCCAAGATTTCATCCCGAAGGGTATCCATATAGCCGGGAGAGAAAAACTTAACAATGAACTTGGCCGCCAACTCATCCCATGTATGTATTGAATGGTTGGACAAACGTTCCAACCAATCTAAAGCTTTACCCGTAGAGAGAAGGGACAAAGCCTTAGCCTCAATGCATCCTCGAAAATATTAGTTTGGTTGGTCCCCCAACATGTATCCACAAAGCCTTTCAAATGTTTGTAAGCATTTTGAGTTGGTGCACCGGTAAAGAAGCATTGTTGCTCAAGCAAAGTGATCATGACATTGGTAATTTGAAAGTTGTCCGCCCTAATACGGGGAGAGACTATTGCACTAGCATAACCTTCGTTGGGCAATATCTGGTGCTGATCCACTTGTGGTTGATGTGGTAGAGGTAGGGGTGGTACGTGCAATTGTCTTGTGGCACCCGGCCTCGCCGATTAGGTTGTAGCACTTGAGGTACCTCATCGAGTTGTTCCTCCTCACCTTCCAACTCCCCCAAAGGCATGTTTCTGAGCTCATTGTTTGCCATTTTTGTACCTAAGATTTCTTCAACAAGTTAGTAACACATAAGGGAAAGAAAATATTCCAAAAACACACTCAAATATATAGCTAACACCATTATAAATCCCTGACAACGGCACCATAAATTGATCCACACCCAATTCACACTCAACAATGAGTGGAAATGGTCATTAGAAGAATAGTACCCAACAATGAGTGGGGTTACTTTTCTCAGGTAGTTAAATATGGGTGTTAGGGTGTACACTTGATGAGCGTAGATAAAATAGCTCAATTACACTTCTAAACAAGAGGGTTTTGTGATTTACTTCTACAATCTATACTAGCAATGATTAATTAGAGAAAAGAAACTAGAGATTGAATAATTATTTTTGTTGTTTTTCAAATGGGTAAAAGGCCTAGGGATGTAACATTCACCTAGATGTTAGCCTAATAGGTTAATTATGATAACGCTTGTTTTAGTGATCGGGGTGTATTACAGCTCTCAACTCTAAGTTACCCACTCAGTACCTCTCGGTCATAGAGTGATTTTGCCTAAATTGGCTTCTCAAGCCCAATTGGGTACCAAGTCAAATAGTTGATATGAGCTCAAGTCGGGTTTTTCCTATCTCTAATTCAAACCCTTTAATTAGGCGAGCCAAAATCTTAACTAGCCCAATTTCTTGTTAGCCAAGTTTTTCTAGACTAGGTCCCTCTTTCTCAAGTAAGAACCAAATCAAAAAGGCATGAATCAATATTTGCAACCATTAAATCTAAAAATAATGCATAAACAAGGATAAATAACAAACATCCAATCATAAACAAATATTAGATTAATTACCCATAAGGTTTACACACTAGGGTTGGATAACAACCCTAGAAAATATCTAGCAACTCATAATATAAATGGATGAAAATAAAGAAGAAACACTAATTAAAGTCAAAATACAAAATTAAAATGATAAACTAATATGTTTTAACCCAAATTGGTCACAAATTAGTAAACTACAACGATACAGCTCAAAAACTATAAAACTTGCCCTAAAAAGTGTTTCCCATCTATTTATAGTGGCCCAAATTCGCTAACAAAAATACCTTTCGGGAGGATCGGCGGCCGCACAATTCCATGTGCGGTCCGCACAATTCCATGTGCGGTCCGCACAATTTCATATGCGGTCCGCACAATTCCATATGCGGTTTGCACTATTCCATGCGCGGTCCGCACTTTACTTGGTTCTGCAGGTTGAGGAATTCTGCAGCCGCACAGTTTGGTTTGTGGTTGTACTTCAGCTTCTGCGGCTGTACTTTTGGCAAGGCTTCACTCTTTGTTATTTTGCACTCTTTGAACTTTTTGAATTCTTGTCAGCGCGACCATGTTTTGCGGCCACACAATTTGTGTGCGGTCCGCACTTTGCTTTAACTATCATTAGAGCTTCAACACCAAATCTGCAGCTGCAAAGAGAATTCTGCGGTCCGCACTTTCTTCTGCGGACCACATTTTTGGCATGTTGCGCTCCTTCTTGCCTTATGATCTGGAACACTTCTTTTTGAGATAGATTTCTTCATTGAAGTTCAATTCTCCAACATTCCTGCAATTTGCACAATTTTATTAGTTTTGGGAACAGAAATCAACATTTCGGACTAGTTTTCTTGAAAGTTCACTAAGTCCACCTAAATTTGTGAACCTTTCATCAATATCACGTACATCAATAATGTTATTAGCAAGTTCGTTCTCAAGGACACCCAAACTAAATTCATCAAAGTCGTCAGGATATAATTTATCCATTTTCACCATCTTCCTTATGTCAAAATTAGAAAATGAAACAACCGGATTCAGGCAAGCTACTCCTTGAAATAAATCATTTGTCCCCTCACTGAAACTGTCATTAAGTTCTTGAAGTTGCCAATCAATAATCTTAAAAAATACATCCACACGATAATGATCTAAAGTAGTATGATTAACAACTTTACGCCGTGATATTCCATAATTAGCATTAGGCTCATCAAAATTGGGTATTAAAATATCATGCTTGATACAAAATATAGATACCTTATCTTTAAGTGGATCCCATCCATCAACTCTTAACGTCTGAAGTTTTCTTTTTGCTAATTCAACAAGTATCATGGCATTGGCAATATCCTACTCTTTTTTATGGATCGATATATTAGATCATATGCGATTCCCAAAATATCGTTTATCATATGCAACATGAAAGCAACCACAAACGTCTGGCAACTTCTAAGATAACCTGATGCCTTAGCTCTTTCATTTAAAGTTCTTGCATCTTGAACAAGAGTATCGAGTACATCAATAATAGATTCAAATAAAAGTATAAAATTTTCAAACGACTTGTAGTAAGATCCCCAAAGAGAATCACCGGCTCTAACAAGACCGAGCTCTTGATTTAAGCCTTTACCCATTTCTAGCTCACCCATATCTAATGCCTCTTGAAATTTTTCTTTTTGAGATTCTCGAAGTTAATTCATATGTTTAAAAGAAGCCCCTAACACATTCAAAATATTTAAAACCAACAACACAAGTTCTCCCACTTGACCACACTTTTTTGAAACTGCTACAGGAGTTAATTGAAGTTGATGGCCAAAACAATGAATAGAATGAGCCGATCTACTTTCTTGTTTAATCAATATTTTAAGACCATTAATATCACCTTGCATATTGCTTACTCCGTCGTAACATTATTCACATACAGAAGATAAACTTAATGAATGATGAGCAAGTACGTCAACAATTACTTTCTTTAAACATAAAACACTAGTATCAGGAATATGAACAAGCCCAATAAATTCTTCCATCACAAATCCCTTTATATCAACATTTCGTAAAACATTATCAATTTTCTCTCTACGTGACACATCAAAAGATTCATCGGCTAATAGAGAAAACTAATCATTATTTAGATCCTTTATTATATCCTTAATTATTTCTATTTTACATGCAGTCGCAATTTCTTTTTGGATGTCTGGAGAAGCCATTTTATTATTTTTTGGAGCATTCTGCAACACAAAAGGCTTAATCTTTTCACATCTATCTCGATACCATGAAAGAACTTCAAGAAAATTACCCCATTCAATGACGATTCACTTTCATCGTGATCACGGAGTGCCAATCTTGATTCAAGAGAAGTCTTACCACATCAATTGAAGCATTTAAGTTAATCCAATATTCATGTTTCATTTGATCAGATTGTTCGTCAAATGCAACATAAATGGACTGTTGTTGTAACGACCCGACCTGTCGTTTTGAGAATTAAAGTCTTGTTCGACGGTATAAGGTCTCGAGCAGCTCCGTATTATATGTTATGACGTGCATGCGTAGTCGAGTTCGGACATCAGATGATTCGGGATTGATGTGGAAGAAGGATTCGTGTTTTAGAAACTTAAGCGGTAAGAGTTGACTGGAATTTGACTTCTATGTAGATGACTTTGGAATGGAATTTTTATGATTCCAATAGTTTTGTATGGTGATTTTGGACTTAGGTGTATGTCCGGATTTGAATTTCGAGGTCCGTAGGGTAATTTGAAGCATTTCAACGAAAATTGGAAAGTTAAAATTTTTGGAAGGTTGAGAGGTTTGACCGAGAATTTGACTTTGGTGATATCAAGTTTGGAATGCGATTCCGGGAGTTGGATTAGCTCAATTATGTCACTTGGAACTTGCATGCAAAATTTGACGTCGTTCCGGGTTGATTTGATGTGTTTCAGCATGAGTTTACAAGTTGGAGTATTCGAAATTTCATAAGTTCGATTCATGGTGTAATTCATAGTTCCGACGTTATTTGATGTGATTTGAGACCTCGAGCGGGTCCGTGTTATGTTATAGGACTAGTTTGTATATTCGGACGGGGTCCCGAGGGGCCCGGGTGTGTTTCAGACGAGCTTCAGATCTATTTCATATTTTAGGACATGTCTGATTCTGGTGCTTCGCACCTGCGACATTTTGGAGCGCAGGTGCGGCTCCACTTCTGCATGAGCCTGGTCGCTTCTGCAATCATAGTGGCCTGGGAGCTCGCTCGCTTCTGCGAAGGCTGGCACACAGGTGCGAAGGACGCTTTTGCGGTCCAGCGATCGCACCTGCGAAGTGGTTCGCTTCTGCGGTCCTTTGGCGCTTCTGCGGTGTCGTTGGGGTGACTATATTTGACGCAGATGCGCTTCCATGTCTGCAAATGCGGAAGTCCTCGGCAGAATCATATAAGTCGAGGGTTTGGCCATTTTCTTCATATTTTGAGTTGTAAATCTCGGTTTTGAGAGATTTTTCGTGGGATTTTCAAGCAACTCATTGGGGTAAGTGTTCTCCACCCGAATCTTGTTATATTTCATGAATCCATTGCTATTTTTTATCATTTAATTAGTGAATTAAGTTGGAAATTTGGGGAAAATTTATAAAATCTTTCAAAATGTAAAATGATGATTTGAAGGACGAATTAAGGTCGGAAATTGATAATTTTGGTATGATTAAACTCGATATCGAATGGGTGTTCGGTTTTGTAATTTTGATTGGGTTCCGAGACACGGGCCTAGGTCAACTTTTTGGAGCGATTTTTTAATTCTTAGCTAAGATCATTATTTAAATTAGTTTCCTATAGTTAATTATAGTATGAAATAGTTTGGGCTAGATTCAAGTTGTTCGGAGTTAGAAATTGAGGGAAAAGGCCTACTAATTGATTGATTGAGCGTGGTTTAAGGTAAGTGTCTTGTCTAATTTTGTGTGGGGGGGGGAGGAAACTACCCTTAGGTATTGAGTCTTTGGTGCTGATTGTGTCATGTGAAGCCCGTGTACGCGATGTGATGAGTATGTGCTCGGGCTTATTTGTGGAAAGTTGATCGTTTAGGGCTCTTAGGTTCTTATGTTCATTAGATATGAAGTTGTTTTGTTATGTTAAGTTCCCCCATTTACTAGTTTCACCTCTATGTGTCTTAATTGGAATTATTTGCTTCATGTTCAATCCTTATTGCCTATTTGACTCTTCTGTGCCTTAACCGAATTTGTTGTCTCTTCCATTCCCATGCTATCCTTTCCTAGTTGTTTATCCTTAATTGAATTTGTTGTACCTCTTTCGTAATTGCTCAACCCTAAATGAAGCTAGTCATCCTTGATCGTAGTGGCCTCATCCTTATTTGGAATTATTGACTCATGTTATCTCCCTTGATGTCGGATTGTACTTTCGTGGAATTATTTGTTACATATCATTTCTCCCTTGTTGAGCTATTCTTATTGAAACTAGTATTTTCTATTGTGTTTATTCTTTGTGAGCTCGTTCTACTGCTTCTTTGTGATCCAAAGCTCTTGAGTTGATTTACTTGTCGTATTCTAGTGATATTGTTGTTGTTGTTATTGTACTCAGTTTGTTGAGCCGAGGGCTATGCGCGATTGTGGTATTGACACTGTTTAGATGAAATGTTGTGGTATATGGGTACATATTGTGAAAGTCATTCTATCGTGATGTTGTATTTTTGGCACGTGATATTGTTGGGAGGTTTGTTCGGATGACTGCATGAGGTTTCTGCCATGCTATTGTTACTATTGATATATGTACATGCGGCGTGACAAGACAGGCTATATATGTGGGTTTGCGCATGTGGCGAAATAAGGTGGGAATATTAGTATGCGCGTGCGGAAAGACAAGGTGGGCATTTACTTTATTATTGCGCATGTGGCGAGACAAGGTGGATTATGCCGGGGATTGATTTGTGATGACTTGTGATGGCCTGGGGGCATTGTTGTTGTTGATATTTGTGTAGTGGCGTGCCTCGCCTGTATGAGTTTTACTTGGTGCAAATTATGGGGATCGCTCCTTATATGTCGTTCATTTTTTTCTCTACTCATATTCGTTGGCCCGAACTGTGATAGAACACTTACACAAGCATACACGTACTTTATTACCCTATCGGTTTAAGAAGATGAACACTGAAGCAACCGATCATTTGTACATACTTCGTCTACTTGTCTTATATGTGAGATTTGTTCTATTGGCACGTGTCGTCCGTGCAGTTATCAGTTGTAATTAGGGCACAATATGCCAAGTGATTAGGGTTCATGAATTTGGACCCGTGAATTGTGTGTGTTTTGAGATTTGGTACCTCGTGGGGATTATTGAATAAACCTGGTGCGAAAGTGGTTATTCTTATCAAGTTGCTACATGTCTTTTCTTTATTTGTTTTTCACCGGATTTAAACTGTGTCCAGCTTACTCTAATGTGATATTACTTGTGGTGTCCCGCTGCAAATTGTTGCTTATATTTCCTATTGCAAGCACCGTATTATTGTTGTCATTATGCGTAGTTCTGTAGATATATCATACTCTGTTAGTCCTATACCTATACTTGTTAAGGTTATCTTGTCCAGTAGGTGTCTTGACTCTCCCTCATCACTACTCCACTGAGGTTAGTCTTGATACTTATTGGGTACCGATGTAATTCGGAGTCAGTCGATTGCTAGCTAACCATACGGGTCTTGTTGTGGAGACTCAAGTAAACCTATTGTTGCGTTCACAGGTCTCGGAGTCACCTTCTGTATTGTACTTGCACTGTTTATCTCTATTTTAAAATAGTTGTATTTAGAGATTTTTGTAGTAAACTCAGTAGAGCTTATGACTTGTACTACCGATTTTGGAAATTGTAAGTTGTATAATAAAGTTCTATTTCCTAATTATTAATTATTGGTCAAATTCTTCTATTAATTGAGTAACTGTTAGGCTTACCTAGTCTTAGAGACTAGGTGCCGTCACGATATCCGACGGAGGAAAATTTGGGTCGTGACAGTTGTTGTTGCATTCGATCTTTAAAATTTATTTTTGCTTGATTATGAACGCTATTGGGACCACCAATATGCTTTGAAAAACTGTCTTTGATCTTATGCCAATTTTTGAACCCTTTACTTGAAAATACATCTTCTCCACATTGATGAATATTATCACCTATAAACAAATAACAAGGTAAATAATATGACGCATTTGTACACACACTATACTCCAACCAGTCACCATAATCTTCAAACCATTTAAAAACAAAATGACGCATTGATCCAGAAATATTAGATTGAGGGAAGTCATGATTTCGAGGTTGGCAAGGACCAATTTGAAGGTATTCCCTCCTTATTTCATCACGAATGTTTGGATGATAATTTAAAATTGGAGTCCTCAAGTTTTTATCATGATTTGGAGCATTTAAATTAAGTTTTTGTCTTTGAGCAGAATGCGGCGGTACTTCTGATTGGTCTAAAAATTTTTCTCACTCACGTTGATTTTGAGATTTCAACCTTATTTTTGGTACTTTACTAAAAATATTCTTCAAGTCCATTGAAACTTCAAATCAAACTGAAATAATAGTCAAGTGCATCACTTATGAGAAATATGAAGAACATCTTTTAAAAAAATACTTTATAAGTGGGTTGTAGCAATGCTTCTTTATGAGTAGGCT